TTCCCTGTCGCAAATCAAACAAAGGCATGCGCTCAGCCTAGTGATCGCTACGCCTGGGCAACTCCGCGCCTCCCTTCCAGTCGTCACAACCCATTCCAACAATCCTATGACCAATGCTAATCCATCAAATAGCGACCACCGCTCACACCCGCTCCATCGCGAAGAGCTGAGCGTATGGACACCTTTTACGTTCAGGTATGGTGGCATTGCCAGATGCACACCAACAGATCGGATGCGCCTGCGATGCTGAAACCCCAATGACCGTCTACGACGCCACACGCCCACACAAGGCCACTCCACACTAACGCCGTCTCCGCGGACCCGTTACTCCTAGTGCTCAAAGGCATCCGCAGACATCCTGAAGCAGCGTCGTACGACCTGCCATTACCGGGCCTAGTTAGACCCGCGCCACCACCACTTCTCCACAGCCACAGCGCGACCGTCGCCACGACAGTCAAGATAATCCACCCCTAGGCAGACAGGACATCTCATCCCCCACTCCTCATATTTCGCCTACACTCCATCTTGCAGTAGTGGTAAGCAACGAGAAAAAAAACGCCAAGGTAGCGTGTAGGGCATCCCTCCTTCTGACATATTGCAGCCAACCCCGCCTCTCCCGCTCCGCATCTGCTCAACCAAAAAGACGTTTCACCCGTGCTACGCTGTCCCCACCCACGGCAAGTATATCAGTTCCGCTGTTGCTTGCCCTTTCCGTCTTTTCGAACGCTCACTTCTAGCGCGGATTCACGTTTGCTTAAAGTCATACCCAGCCCACTTTGCACGCTCCCGTCCACCGTCAACAGTGGCCTAGGTCTCCTATTCTCATCTCGTCAACTCATGCTCCCTCATCACGAACAAAATATCTCGGCGCGTAGGGCACCTTCTTCAATGCCACGAAACGTCCCGACTCATATCAGGATGCGTCGTAGCGTTTTGTTTGGCTGGAAGGCCTTGTCTGGGAGTCGTGCAAGTTCTTGCTCCCTCTCTATAATGTATTTTGGGGCGACATCCT